TGCGTTGGTGTACGGGGGCCGTCGGCCGTAGCGTCTACGTACAAAGTATGGCGGGTAACGCCGTCTGCCAGGGTAAGCGGGCCTGCGCTGCTGTGGCTGCGAGTCTCCTTCAGGGGCGCTCTCTCCCCCATCTCGGCTGCCTTTGTCTCGACCTCCGCTGCCTGGCTCCCCCTCTCCGTCACTCTGGTAGTTATCTGGATATTCTCCACCACGGGGAGGGCCCCTTCTCCGGGGATAGCGCCTATAGCGGTTCCTGTCAGCGGCGTACTTACTTCCCTGGACTGCAATGCCTCCTGGGCCGGTGACATTTGCCGCCTCTGCTCCCTGTGCACAGTAGCATTTTTTTTTTTCTCTCTTTTTTATTAATAACAATTATCCACTCTAGCGGAATAACAGCTAAACAAGATTTTTGTACAAAAACTAAATCACAATTTTGGCCCGGAGTCAACAAACATTAAAAAAAAAAAAACAAAAAGAAACAACACCATGACTGGCTTACCTTCTCTCCCACTCCAACTACATCAAACCTCCACAGTTTCTCCATCTCCCAGCACACTGCCGAACCGGTATTTCCTCGGGTATGTTCTGTTTTGATGGCTGTCCTAATTAAAAAATAAAAATAAAAACAGTTCAGGTGTGAGATTTGATATTAATGCTCATTCATATATTTTTTAAATTATATACATAAACAGTGTTGTGTTTTTGAACACAACTTACCTGGTGTACAAAAACGTCCTCTTTTGTGTCATTCCTAAACAAAAGAAGAAAAAAAACAGTTACATCTAGTTGTCAGTATCTTAATGAGCCAGATAATGCAACAATGTATCTGCTGACAGACTGCAACTAAACCTATAAGTGTTAATCAAGTACTGAACAGAGACAGCATGGAGACCGGCAGACAAATCGTCTGGTCAGCTTTGTAAGCAAATCAAAGCCATAATAGGATTGTGAGTGTTCCTGCACACACACAACCAGGGGCACCGCACCGGAGAAAACAGACACACACACACACACCACACATAGTACACACACACACACACAGATGATATCAGGCTCTTTAGGAAGCAGGGGGGGTGTGTGTGTAGGGTCCACTTACCTATTGATAAAACCATATCCATTCCTGACGTTGAACCATTTGACTGTACCCAAGACTTTTGTTGCTGCAATGAAACACAATAAAAACTTAATTATTAACCAGGTTTAAGCTTCAGTCATTTCCTTTTCTGTGTTAGACTGTACAGATAACACACTGCAAGCATAGATGTAACGCTTCAAATCAGCTTCTCTGTGTAGACCTCTACTGACTGAATCAAATAACGACAGATGATGAAAAACCAACCACGGGTACAGATATTGTTGAAGTTATATTTAAACTACCAACTGTCGCCCTTTTTATAGATCCTGATGCTTAGGGGTCCCCATGCCAGCTGCACTTGGTGTGAGCCGTGAACCATTATGACCCCGTAATAACTGCAGCGTTCCTCATGCGGATGCAGTTTGCTTCCTATCCACATTATGAGTCTCTATCTTAAGGAGCTGCAGTAATGTGACACATCAATGACGGATACCGTAACGAAATACACTGTGGTCGCTGACAACATTAGAAAGTTCAACCACTACAGACCTACTGCCCCATTTTAAGCCGCACTGCTCAGTACTGGCGCGTCCACACGTGGTAGAGTCGCGCCCGGATACGTTAGCAAGCAGCGTGCCCAATTGCCTTGTTAGCATAGTAGCTAACTGGGTCTCAACCATGTGGTTGGATTAAAGCCAGCAAGCGGAAAGTACTCTAGCACACCAGATGGCATGTATTAGGACGAAATGTTGTGTGATAATAAAAAGAAACGTGTGGTTTGTTACTTTGTTTTTTCACCGACCAACAGATACATAGCGAATGAATTCCGTGGAATCAGTCGGCGGACATTTTGAGTGGCTCCTTCAGCCATGTATAGTATCGTTAGCTGGCTAGGCTAGCGTCGCCTCTGTTAGTGGCAGCTAGGCCACAATGCTAGCTCTAAAATCCGCAAAATGAAGACAACCGTTGACACTTGTAATCGAGTGTATTCAGAGACCAGCCTGGATATGGTCGCCTCGTCGCCTATGTTGGACACGGGTTTATGCGCGTGTTTCGACTATTTTTGGAGGTAAAAATGACCAACACGGAACCAGCCTCTTTCGTGCGAACAAAGAGACGGCCAGCAGCTAGCGTTAGCTCGCTTTCGACGCCAGTTGTCGCAACCGGCGGTGTAAAATAACACCGTGATGTGTGATTAACGGTTGGAAAGCTGTAGCTAACGTTAACGTTCTAACGGCTCGACGCCAACTGCTTTTCGATCGACTACATGCCGTTCTATAGAGCGGGGCTGACGTTAGCGGGTATAGACAACATCCAACGGCCGCGCATGTGACGGCCAGCCGGTAACATGGCATTTTGTTGCGGCTTTCGGACGTTAGAAGGCCGACAAACGGGAGAGATTAACCGGCCAAGATTGAAGGATTACCTTTACCAATAGTGTATTCTCCCGTGGAATTTATGTCACTTCGAGAAACGGTTAATAATTCACAACTAATATTAAAACAAATTAGTGGTAACGTGAAATAGGTAAAGCTAGCAGTGATAATACGTTCCAACTGACATTTATTAATTTGTACTGCTAGCTAACGTTAGGACTAACGTCTGTTTAACAGCAAAGGGACATTTATTTTGCCTTGAGATAAAACTCAGTGCACTTTATATTAAAACACTAACATTTAATTACAGACATCCCACACGTTATACTAAATGTAAGAGGTAGCCACTAAATTAACATTTATTTTGTCATCTGACAATTTAACAAGTTTTGCGAGTTAACGGCAACAGTGGATTGTGACTGTAGTAACTCAACGGTTAGTAGCGCCGGTGATCCGCTCCTAAACGTTAGCAACCGTCGCTTTTGCGCATCGCCTCTACCGTGTCCCGAACCACGTTAGCTAACAGCTAACTAGCTCATTTCTAGTAGTCTTACCGATGACCTTCTTATCCCCCGCGGAAGCTGCGGCTGCCGGGCTGGATGGGCTCTCCGCATCGTCAGCAGGCTGCGGCGGCTGTTGTTGTGTCTCGGCCTCGCTGCTCATGGTTACTACTGGTTGGTAATGGCTTCTGCCGGCGGCGGCTCTCTGCTATATTTCCCGGTGCTAGATGGTAACCTGGGCCGGCGGTGGTGGGGGCTACTGCCTTCGGGCTCTCTGCTTTCCTCTTTCCGCTCCCGTTGCCGATCGAACTGGGCAGAATGAGTAACTGTGCCGGGGAATGTTCCTGGTCGTGGCTCCGCCCAACAAGTGTTCCTATTGGTTGGAATCTGTAACGCAAAAGAAAACGCATTCCTATTGGTCAACACGGGTGTCAGTGTCGTTTGACATAGGAGTTTGCCAAAAATGATTGGCTAAAGCGGAATGTACCTGTCCATTGTCACCTCCCCCATAGTGATGTCAAAGTCAGACAGATAACCGTGACACTTTTGGAGCAGTGTCTGCTTGGTTATATCCCATGTAAGTGTTAGTCTTTTGACGGATTTAACAAAATGTACAAACACTTGCAAAAACATGGCGTCATAAAATTCCCTCAAAGGATATTATTTTATCTTCATTTCATGTTTTTAATGTTTGGGGAAAGCAGGTCTTCAGTTCAGTTGAAGAGCCCCATTCACATTTTCCCGTTGAGATTTAAAATAAAACTTGAATTTTGAACAAGTAGTCAGTTGTAATAATGTAAACAGGGTGCTTGCCTGAGGTTTAATGAAGAGGTTGTTTGTATTGTTGCCGTAACTACTGACAAAATATGAACTGCCTATAGACGCTGCACACTATCTGTAGCCTCATGTGCATTGAGTGCAGCCCTGTGGAAATATTGAGGGATAACTGACCTAATTTAAAGGAAGGATTAGGAAAGCCTCAATATTTTATTCACGGAACATAATGTAACCTAAATGTTACATTTATCATATTTACTGCATTATCACAGTTGCAGTGGTAGTACCTCTCAAACATACATGATGCCTTGGGAGATTTGGGAGGAGAGCTTATTTTCATCTCAGGAACCTATCAATGTTGGCAGCTATACATTGTAAAACCTAACAACTGAATTCACTATTCCATATCACAGGATAGTGGAAGTAGCTCTACTATTACAGCTAAAATGTGATATTATTTTGTAGTTGACTCCTTTAAATAGAGGTCATCTTTGGAGAAATTACACCCATGATTAACAATAACCACTATGTTCCCTCACAATTTAAACACCAAGCATGGTATTTGATTGTGTCCTGATATTTGTGTCTCCTCTCATAATTGCCCTGCACAATAAACTGGTTAAATGCAGTCATCATCCTGAGTGAATTCAGAAACTCCAATACCACTAGCACAGAGCAGACAGACCCAGACTGAGAGTGAGACAACCCCACCACAGCCCCCCACCCATTGTCATGTTAATGCTCCACTGGCACTGTTTATGAGCACTGGCTGATGTGTGAAGAGCTCGCTGTTAATGGCCGAGCCCCGTTCTCCCACACAAAGATGGGCTTTAGCATTGACCCCAGAAAGCCTCCACACGAGGAGACCCCCCTCCTGCAAATAAAAAAAAAAAAACCTTCTTCCTGTCTCCATAAGAACAGAGTCTCCATCTGAAAGGATTCTTTTGTGCCAAGGGAACGAAGTCCAAGGCAGAAGAGGGAGAGCGTGGGTGGGGGAGGGGGTCTGGTAGCTCAGATTTGTATGGATGGCCGGGATAAGAAGAGGTAGCCATAAGTTCAGCAGAGGATTGCTTGGCACTGGAGAATGTGCCTTGGAGGACTCTCGTTCCTTTGACTGTAATGCGTTTCCCTCCTTGGCTCCATGGCGATGGGGTTGAAATTGATTATAACCCACTATCAATTCAGTGCCACACTATACATCTCTGCACAATTCCTCATTGATAAATTTAACCTTAATCTCAAACATCATTGTTTTTTCTAGGGTAAGGATCTACGAGGAGGGGTAAATTAGCTAACAAAAGCTAGTGCATAGTACGCTGGGTACACAGTGTTCTTACAGTATTAAATGCAGGGGTGAATTCAGAGCAGTTTCAAAAATGGATATATGACTAGTTTCTTAAATACTTTTTTAAAAAAGGATTAAAACAAATTAAAATCATTTGGTCTTACAATCCTTGGCTACCGTTAATATTATAATATATATTACATATTTACACGGTTTATATTTAAACGGTGCTGAAAGAAATCTCAAATGTGATGCCTTTTACAGATGTGAACAGCTTTTTTCAAACAAACAAGATCTCCCCCAAAGGTTTATAAAAAATGTAAAACATTTTATTGATCATATTACATAGTGAGATTGAATTAGGAATGAGAAGATTTCATATTTTTTACATGCCAACCAATTGTTTCTTTAGAGGTCACATTTTCTTAGTTGCCTTTTTACGATAGGATATAAAAAATCTCCTTCATTTGGACTCATCAGCAACTGTGCTGAACACAACACAAAACATTAATTTCAAACCCATGGACTAAGAACATCCTGTCAGTACCAAATCCCACCTGAGATATTTGAGTGAATATTTTATTTGGGTTTGGATGCAGCAGTTAACCTGGAATCAGGTATACCAGAGCCAGAAACATATGATTAACTTTATAATGTCCTTCAATCTGCATTGTGGGAGAAGGCATCTATACACGAAAGAATATGTGGGTTGATATTTGCTGAGGACTGTTAAGTAACTATGAGGCACTACTGAGGGTGTGTAGTTCTTGCACTGTTGTGAGTGAGCTGGATCACATCTCTCCACACTGTGCAACGAGGATGGGGAGCTTGGGCTTGTTGTTGGGTCCTGTAGGAACATTCTGTTGGGACAGAGGAACACAAAAAAACTCAACTTTAAAAAAGACACTTAAACGCAACTGAAATTATCCTTTGGCATTTCTGCTCAAAAACAAAAGTCTAGTGACTTATTACATAACATGACACAATACAACATTACTTAAGTGTCAGTGATTGCGTTTCAGTCACAGGTTAGATGCCTGCTCAGAATTATTTGTGTCTAAAGTTTGAAACATAACTGTGGAGATGAAAATGTTAAAGACAGTGAATGTTGAAAATCTTAAACAACATTTAACACATATTCTGAAATACATACTACCTAGTTCTCTTCAAACTTGATTTGAGAGATAAATCAAACAATCCGGGGACGTAACAAGTCAGAGTCCAAATAGAGTCGATGTTTTCTCTTTAAACATGTTGCACAATTGTTTATCACTTAGTGGTGAGTGGTTATGCTGTTTAAGCTTGAATACATTTTCTTATTTTCACCAGAATGAGTGGTCTCTCTCCTCTCACTGTTTTGCTTCAGTATTTTGGTCAATTTACAGATCAATCCTAAATGTATTTATTGATTGTTTCATCCACTGAAACCAATATATTAATATAAAATCAATATTACAGTATTGTTTTTACCTCAATTTTTCTCATAATCAGCAAACCATCCACGACTTTTCCTAAAACAGACATGAAAAAAATACAATTAAACTAAACAAATTAGAATAGAGCTCTAAATCAATATAAATACACAATTAATATTGTAGACTTACCAAATACAACATGCTTCCCATCTAACCAGTCACATTTAGTGCAGGTAATGAAAAACTGACAACCATTTGTCCCTGGACCGCTGTTTGCCTGAGTAAAACACATTATTGAGAGAGAAAGGCAGTTTTAAATCATCTGTTTGTCTACATAGGTTAGAACTAATTCACTTTGAATGAATCAATCAAATCCTATTGTCTATAGAGGTTGGGGTCAACTCACTTTGAATGGATTAATCAAAACTTAATTAACTTAGTATTTTAAACAGGAAAGACCCTTTCCTGATTCAACAGTGCCCCTAACATCTGAGCATTGATCTGTATAACATACCATGGACAGAAGACCAGGCGCAGAATGCTTCATTCTGAAGTTTTCATCTGCAAATGGACCTCTGTAGATACTGCAGATACCAGTCCCATCACCCTTCACAAAAAGACAAAAAAACAGTATTTAATATAGGGCTCACAACGTAGAAAGAGAAAACTATACATCAGTTTAGATGTGCTGTAATTTACTACGTCCACCAGGGGGCGAAAGATTGCTTATTCAAAATTCAACTGCAGTCTGTCCAACATCACTGCAAGATATATTTAATTTAATTAAGACAAGAAATAATAGTTTCATAAGTGAAACAATGCCTCCATTCCTACAGCAACATAATATACATGTCATCCACTGATACCAACCACCTTGAAAAAAAAAAAAAAGAAAGAAAAAGAATCTTCCTTTACCTACTTTCACATTCAGATCTATCAAACATGGTTACACACCCCAAGCACTCACCCCAAGCAAAAATGTACTTGTTCTTCAGCTAAGAAACAGGTTCTTTTGATTGTTCTCAGTGTACTGTATTTATTTGAGTCATCAGAATAACAACATTCATTGCAGATGCAAACTATTAGACTTTGAATGACTCTTTACTGTCACCCTAAAGCTGTAAAAAGAGCACTAACCAGGCAGCAGAACAGGTGTGTATGTACTTACATTTACAAAGTCCCCTCCTTGTATCATAAAGTCTTTGATCACCCTGTCAATGAACAATGCAAACATATCAGCGCTGTGAGGTTCGCTTAGGTAACAGAAGCTGTTATACAAAAAGCAGATTTAACCAGGCAGTCTGACTCATACGACATGCTGAGACTGCCTATAAAATGTATTCACTTTACCAAAAGCCAAATTAAATCTATTTTGACAACATTTTGTAAAACAATACAACATGAAAACATCAAATGGGGGTGAATAGAGATGGTATCAATTCCCATAACACTCCACTCCACCATAAATAGTTTATTTTTATTATTTATACATCCATTTATGTCATTTTTAAAGTCTGTGAGTAGCATAAAGGGACTGCAACTTGCATTTCCTTGTACAACCCTGTGTTGAAGAATGATAAATGAACCCTGTGTGTAGAATTTAGTGGCATCTAGTGGTTGCAGATTGTAACTCCCTCGCTTTAGAAGCACAAAGGAGAAACCACGGTGGCCGTGAAACATGCAGAAAAATACAAACAACCCTATCTGTTTGGTTTGTATGTTCTGGGCTACTGTAGAAACATGGTGGTTCAACATGTGCGAGACCCATATTATACGGACATTTTTACCACCACTGACATGTCTTAAAGAAGAAGAAGAAGAAGAAGAAGAAGATATACTTTATTGATCCCCTAGGGGGAAATGGTTTTTTTCACTCTTTTTTTATTAATCTTTCAAAAATGTTACAGCAGGCAAAAATGTGATTTACTTCTATAAATAATAATAATAATACAAGCAGTTTCAGTCGGTCAGTCGGTCGCTCAGGGCCTTAGAATAATCAAAGTGAAAGATCAAATTGCTCTAGAGCCTTCTGTCTCTAGACTATAAATACTAAGAAAAACAGAGACAGAGGCAGGGCTGACAGTGGATACTCAGGGGAGGCTGTTCCAGGAGACAGCCAAGTTAAATAACAACTCTTAAAGCCAACATAGGGTGTGGTTTTCTACATAAGTTAAATGATTCAGAAAAATATTAAACATCTTCCCATCAGAGTATAATGTGAGCTAAACTGTGTACCTGTGGAATGTGCAGCCTTTGAAACCAATAGGGACTCCATCCTTCCTGTAGTTTGAGACACAACAAACTGAAGTTAGCAGTAAAGACTAACATACTGTGTTGTACTACAAGCTTTATCACCTGTGCTGTGAGCTCTGACCTGTACAATGCCACATCATCGCTAAACAAATAAGAATAAGTATATCCCACGCAGCAGGCTCAAATAATCAGATTTTAAAAAGGAACCTGTTCTGTCCCTTTAATCTGAATACTGGCGTGCATGGAGTAACTAATTTTTGCATACAGGAACAGCATGAAATAAAAGTGTTGGTTGCATAACAGCACCTAGTCCTATTAAACGGCCTTATATTCATTGTGGGGTAAAAGCATCCCTTGGCTTTCTCCAAATAAGCAGACAACTCATTAAACTGTTTATATATCCTACTGTTCAGATGTGAAAACCTGACTTATCTAGACTTGATTTTAATATCTCCCTTTATTTTTTCCTAACTTATTATTTTGGATACAAGGAGGCAAAGCTGCAAGTAGCAGTTTTCCTGCTGCTACTCCTGCCACAGCTGATTACTTTCTGGCCTAGCTCTTTGTCATGCGCACATGCACAATGTAAAGAACCTTCAGAGACCTTGATTAAGCATATATATATTCCCAAATTGAAGGACTCTGCAGCAGAAACCTTTTGTGCTAATCAGATTTCTTAAGTGTATGTTAACAATGTATTGTGTAGTTGGTTTATTGTGCAGCGTGGTTAAGGAGTGTTTGTGCACCATCAAAGAATACAGCCCTTCATTTCTTTACCTGAACTCTCCAGTGCAGAACTGCCTGTAAGAGACAATGAAACCGTAAGTGACAACTCAGAAATTGTCTGATTTGTCTTATCTTACCTGTGATATCTTGTTTTTCTGATTTTTTAATAACATACTATGTCATCCATGTGATTGCAGACTTTCTCCTTACCGGAAATTCTCCGCCGTCTTTGGAACCACATCAGCAAACAGCTCGATCTTCATCCGTCCGACATCCTGACAGGCAGTTGAGAGAACTTTGTGTTAACAGCTGGATGCACATAATAAAGAGATACCTGTTCAAGATAGCAATGGTTACACACCTAAAGAGACGGGACAAACAATTTTACCTCAGGACAAACTAAATGGAATGAATACCAACAGGTAATTCTTGGTCCCACAAACTATTCTACAGCCCAACGAAGGCCTCATCTGGACTAACCAGTTAGAGCTCCTCAATAACTAGTACAGGAGTTCCTCCCTCTCCCCTCCCTCTGCTTCTGGTCTTGATTACAGTTCAACTGTGATACTATCTCATTCATTTTACATCTTTCAGTTCTCTTTTGACTTTGCAGTCTGTTTCCTCTTAACAATGACGGCTATTTTGCCACAGTTCTGGTAGCGTTTCCCAGTGGTCAAAGCATACGTAAGAGAAAGATGTAAATGAGAAGATACCCCACTCTAGATGCAGCACATTACTGGACATTAAATCCTGTATGAGCTGTGCGTTTGTGTTTGGTAAAGTGGGTGTCTGTCCACCGAGCAACCATAACCGGAGAGGCGCACGCAAGCGGCCGACTGTTACAACAATGTCTGCGTATTTGCAGCTGTGTGTGAGAACAATGTGCTGGTGTGGTTTGTGTCTCTGCCGTGACATCAGTGCACACAGTGTAGTATGTTTATAGTTTCAAAGCAATGAATTGAAATGCATAAGCTCAGTGCTGACACAGAGTAAACAACCACGGGACATTTTAACAGCTGAAGGGGACGTCGACTGATCCCACGGGTAAGGCTCTAGTGTCTTCATCTTGATAAATGTATACTGTTCAGCCACTTTTGTTGTGATTCTAAAATGAGGGTGTGAAATTTTCAAAGATCACCAACACAGAACTCTTCTGCAGGACAAGGGGTTTCACCTGATCATATTCTGTAATATAAACTCCAGGACAGCCACACCTGCTTCCCCCTGCTTCCCCCTCTCCCAGCACTAGATGTGCACAGATCAAACCGAGAGCAACAAGTCAAGACACAGCGACAAGGTGTTAATCAGCCTCTTATTGACAGGTAAGGTTCTGTAAACTAGCACTATGTGCATGTGTGACTGGAATCATATTAGGACCTGTAGAAGTGTATTGGTGACTATTTCTCCTCGTTTAACTATCACCATACTCTTACAGGGTGATCGTTCTGTGACTATATGTAGTCAGGTGACGTTGTTAGGTGATTGAATCGGATCAGTACATGGTGCTCCAAGCTTTGTAAAGCTAATTTAAATTGTAAAAATATACAATTTTACTATAATGAAATGTTAAAATTACATGTTTTTACTCATTGACAAATTGTTATATTGTTTTTTTAACTTGCACCCCTAAGCTTCTACGTCAGGAGTATTTTATTAACGCTGTTAATTAAAGTATAAAGGCGTGATATGTTACAGGTGTACTGGTTTTTTTTTTTGTCACAGTCAGACAGACAAGTTTCTAGGAAGCACAAGAACATCTGATCATGTTTCCTGGTACTCTAGTGAAATTGTAGATGGATATGATGCATACTAAACCAGCACGGGGTGTGGTTTCACCTGACATTCATTGTTAGTAGATGCTGCATTTCCATCCTGGTTGGACAAGCAAATCAATATAACAAGAAGCTATGTTTCCATTTCTAAGAAGAAGAAGGTGGAGCATAAAGTCCTGCCTAAAAGGTAACTATTCCACCTGACGACAGTCACTGGCAAGTCTTGATGAAAGTATGCACGGTCTCTAACTTTCATTACTGCAAGCATCTGGATATTCTCCACCAAAACTCACAGGACTAGGACAACTCTGGACAGAGAGGTACAGACTTCTTAGGGTCGCACTTTGTTTTATTCATTTTCTTTACTTAGTAAGTAAATGCTGCAGAAACCAACTAAACGTGTAATCGTGTTACAAATCATGTAACACTGGAAATTTAGGTTGGTGTGTGTATTGCTGGAATGAATACCACTGCAAGAGAAAGGTAAGTCAGAATTGACTGAGTAGTGAAATTAAGACTTTTAAATAAAACATACTTGAGGACCAAAGTGATCGCTGTTTTAGAAATGCTTTAAAAATTAAATAATAATGACATGTAAATCATTAAATAAATGACAACTGTTCTGCACTAGTCATACAAATTGTTTAACTGCACAGGTGGGGTGTGATAAACAACAGGACTATTACTTTATGATTACACCAAATATGCTGACAAAATAATGTCACCAGCTCCAAATGTGAGCTCTTACTGTTCAACCTGCACAAACTTGGCCTACACTTCAATTTCATTATGTTTTATAAAATTAACACAACTTGTTGTAATGTTTATAAATAACACCAAGAAAAGATCTCCCGGGGGGTTCAAAGGTCAAAATCTGATACCTACTTAATCATCTCTCACTACTTTATGCGTGACCATGTAAAAGGTTGTTGACTCGTGCTTTTTCTTGTTTCTTCTCATAATTAATTGCAGTCTATTTTTTTGTATAGACAACGTTCCTAACCAATATGATCCCGTCTTTCACAGCATTCCCTGGTGCACCTTGGTACTGAGCTGAGAACGGTACATGCTTCCTGAGTCGCCAGGGTCTCCAGGAATCAGCCATACCGTCAAAATGCTGGCCATTATAGAGCAATGGGAGGTGGGGTCTGGCTGTCATACAGACAACTCTGAGAAATATCTGTTACTTATCCTCTTCAAGTTGGGACTGGACATAATGGTTTTTTACTTATGTTGTTGGAAGCCGTCTGCCTCCTTTTTAAACATGTGCAGCCAGTCCGTCATCATGGCTGACACGGTGATGGCGTTTTCTTTGGCGAGTGTGTGGTATCTCGGAGCTGAAAGGTCTCCTGTGTCAACCTGCTTCCTCTTGGCTCATGCTTCAGCGACATATGGAGCACTGCCGCTGCCCATGATGTTCCTTGGTTTACTGGACTACTGTTTACAAGATACCTACCGCTGCAACCAGAGCGCCATCTTCAGATGCCCAAGAAACGCAGTCTTGATTGTGCTGGGGTGGATGCTAGCTGTCCTTTACTCCTTTGGTTCTGTCAAAAACGAGCTGATTGAAGTGGATTTAACAACGGAGACAAAGGCTCTTGTGTGCGAAGTAGAGGAGTCTACACTGATTACCTACTTTATTTTGGTTCTTTTCATGGTAGTACTTTGTGTAATGCTGCCCTTTTGGTCAAGTATTCCTCAGTGGCTGAAAGAGGCTGACACGTTAGCTAAAATGAGGGAAGAACAAGAGAATCAGAGGAACGACTTGTTCATCTCAACCCAGTGCACAGAGACAAAAATCAGTGAGGGGTATTATCTGGAGGAGATCATCAGGCCACCCCCTTCTCTGTGGCTCAGTCTAATGCTGGGCTTCGGTATGTTTTGGATGCCTTATCTAGCTATGTCTGTTATCTGTCAGGTCTTTGGCTTCGGAGTACCTGCCTACATCACTTTCAACCTTCTGTGGTTGGAGTGTGCCAACAGTTTAATAATGGGTGTGTTGTTCTGGGCAAAGGCCAACACACTAGGGCCAGACAGAAACATACCAAAAAATGTGTGCTTATGGCACATTTACTGGTATTTGAGCAAAAGAACACAACAGCAACAACAACAACAACGCCCTATAGCTGTGTTAAAGCCATCAAAAGACAACGCTCTCCTCCATGTGTAACATGCAAAAGTCAATGAAGACTTTATGGAAATGAGTGAGCATTTTTGAATGGTCCTGGACACAGAAATGCATCTCCCACCAATGCATCAGCACATGCAGAAATGCTTTTGAGCAAAGAATTGCACTGCTAAATGTTACAAGAGAGAAAAGGTGTTGCTGAAAGCTGTGGTGATTAGGTTAAGCTTTTGTCAATATTTACAGAAATGATACTTTTCTATTTCCTACATGTGTATGTTTGTCACGCAGCAATTGTCAAAGATAATTACAGACTTGAGGAAAATGCTATGACGACTGTGGTATGGGTTTTAAAATGCTTTTCAATAAATAACACGCTGTCGTCTTCATTCTTACTTCACCAAAGCCATGTATTGAAACTATGTATTTTAAATGTATTTTTCTACTCAATGTGTTTTTTTAATGTTATTTGTCTTTGTAATGAGATCTTGTTCTCAACAAGAATAGGCTGCGCAATTAAGTCTACAAATCTTTTTGATGTCCCATCATGATTTTGATATTTTTTTTGTCAAACATACGACGTTGTTGCCATATTGTGCAGCCCTAATCAAGAATGAACTGCAAGTCTCAGTTTTTAATCCAAAACGGACCATTTTTTTTTATTTATACATTTTTTATTTTGCATTTTATATTGCTTTTTTTATATATATAAATGTCTAGGTTGTTCTCCTTACTTATTGTGT